CTTGCTGTAGGGTGCTTGACAGAGCAGAAATGAGCCAAGAAAGGAAGGGTCTATCTGGTGGACTTCAATTACTGGCAGTTCTTTTGTTTTTATTGGTTGCTGGGAAATGGTGAGATGGGTGTGAGGACTGATGGGAATATCTCCTGCTGGTGATGCTGTCTCCATTGTCTTTCAGCATCTGACAGACACCGATGGACTGAAAGTCTCTAAGTTTTGGGCCCTGACTCAATGCCATGACTTGGGATGGTCACAGCTGAGCAGTTCTTGTGCTGTATGCCGGAGGTCGCTCTTGTGACTATTGTCTTCTCATACCTGGAGCTGTGTATTCTAAGTTGAACTTAACACACATGTTTAGCCAGCAGTGCTCTCTTTGGACCTGGCCTCCCTCTTGTTCTCATCATTAAGAGGCTCGTCTTGGTTTCCTTACAGTATTGTTGTGGGTTCCAAGAAGGCGAGAACAGAGCTGTCAGGTCTTTGGGGCCCTATGTCTGGGCATCCCATACATGCAGCCCTGAAGCTGGTCAACTAAATCACATGTGCAGCACAGAATGAAGGAGAGTGAGCTGATTCCACCTCATGGAAAGATAACAAGCATGACAGTCTGAGTATGGGTCCTTCCAATCTCACGGAAAGTGGAACATTGTACCCCAGGGGTCTGGAATCCCAGTCTACACCTACAAGGAGACAGGATGTAGAGGCAGAAAATCCCCAGAACTTTGAAGGGCCAGTTAGTTGACTTCCACAGAAGCAAGCAAGATAGACCTTGTCTCTCTCCTTTTCTTAATAAAAAAATGGAAAAAAAAAGATAGACCTTGTCTCAAAAAGAGTGAAAGATGAAGACCAACACTCACAGTTTCCCTCCAATTCTTTTATATGTATGTTGTAGCACACACATGCCTCTACTGACATAGGCACATATCACATACACACTACACACACACACACACACACACACACACACACGATTCTACCTATTGATGTGAGAAATCGGTAAGTTCCAATGCTCAGGGGCATGGTTCTCTGGGTAGAGAGAGACCGTGGCCATGTTTGGAAGTTACCTGTCACCTAATTAAAGCCAACTCTAGAACAAGGGAATCATAAGTAGCTGTGCTTCAGCATACACATGAACCAGTCCTTGATTTTTAACAGTGTTTGAAAAGACAAAGAATGTGTGCTTCCTCTTAAAGGAAGAAAGGACCATCTTAGTGTTCCAATAAAAACCTGCCACTCATGTGGGCACAAAAGCCAGTGGCTTTGTCACTACGGGGAAGTTTTAATGGTTTAATACATTTTATTAAAATTTTTAAGATTTATTTTTATATGTGTGTATACGTGTGCTTCTGTGTGAGTAGATCCCATCTGTATGTCTAAGGAGGCCAGGAGGAGGCGTCAGGGTCCCTGAAGTTGAAGTTATAGGCAGGGGCAAACTCTCAAATATGGATGCTGGGAACTGAACAACTCACATCTTCAGAGAGAGCAGCAGGTATTCTTAACTGCTGAAACATCTCTCCAGCCCCTAAATTTCATGATTTTTTTTTAAAAAATTCATATCTACAACTGTTTTAGTACCTTGGAAATGAGGTCAGCAAAATCCCAAGAAGGGCTTTCTTAGGCTCACTCTTGCTAAATATACATAGAGCCTTAGTAAATTTCCCTGACATCTGTTTAAATTAGAACTGTGAGTTAACTTTCAAAGGGCCTGGCATTTTAATTTGAGAAACTAAATGGAATAGTGAAATCTACCAATATTTCAAGTGGGAATGTCTTAACCCCAGGAAGCACGGGCTACTTCATGAGAATCTTCTCACTCAAGAACAAAATGGGACAGGATTATAAAAGGGACACAAACTGATGGTTTCTGCAAAGCTCCCTCGGCAGGGCAGGTTACATAATACATTCCAATCCTAAGTATCGGGCCATATTATCACTCTTATAGTTAGTCTTTCGAGTTTCTGCAAGGCAAATGACTCACTAGGGCTGCATAGCTATAAGGCCAGGATTCAACTCGAGTCTTCCCCTACCTTATTTCTGATGTTTATTCTGATTCACATACATTTTATAGATGCGCGAACATTATCCATTTTATTTAGCCTACTTTAAAAACATAATTGTTTCCTAAATCCTTCTTAGCTCCCACACTTCACAGCCATGATCTTAGTCACTGCACGGTATGTTAACACGCCTTTGGTATGTTGGACACATTTGGTATGTTGTTTCCTCGTTATCCTGATGTGACCATCTAGGTTGCTTAGATTAGGGCTTAGAACTCTGAATTAGATCAGTTTCGGTTTAGCAAAATTGCTAAATGTGTTTGCAATGATCTTGTGGATCACATTTCTTTTTTTTTACTCTCTTTGTCATTTTCCTTGAACTTGTTTTTATTAGCATGATGAGACCTGCTTAGATAATTGGCAGTGATTAAATACATGGAATTAGACACGTACTTATGCATCTGACGTTTTCACTCACAGCAACTGAGCACCTTTTGCTTACTTCAGGCGTGGTTCCTTGCCAAGAATAAGACTGTTTGCTCCTCTAAAGTGCATTTTCTGAATGACCATATTGAACTAGCTGGCATAGAAGTACAGGGCCTTGCTTGGAGGGACCGACACGCACATCTCAACTCTGGCCAGTAGATGGCTCTGTTTCATTCACCCTTCTTGCAGGTTCCACTTGGAAAACCCAAGGGTGGGAGTCGTCCCTTTTGTCCCCCCCAGCATCCCATACCTGGCCCCTCGTCTCTCCAGCCACCTAGTTACCCGATTCACTGCCTAGGAGAAGTTGGGACAAGTGATTTGGGTATAAATACATCCTCAGCTTCCACAAAGTAGGAAGTGGTGGTGGCTGAAAGCATTCTCCCCGAGCCGAAGCCTCTTTTTCTTTAAATAGCTCCACGCTCACAACTAGAGGCTGCATTACTGAGTCATAACAATTAATTACATTCGAAGGTGAGAAGACGGGGATTTAACGCTCTAATGCGATTTGAATTTAGGCTGTTATCTCATCCCACTGCTATTTAAAACAAAGTCATTTCCCCCTGTGGAAGTATCTGCAACCAAGGATGGTTTCGAAGCTTGTCTAAAGACATCTTTGGCAACTGAAGATTCCTATTTTAGCTGCCTGAGGGGTTTCATACGTACCTTTGGAGTAGCTAGATTTTATTAAATGAAGTGTATCTCTCAATTTGGGGACGTGATTAAGGAGAAGTAGGAGATCAGAAGGATGTGTTTTATCATGGATTTTCTAGGTGTTAAGTGTATGCTGGGGAACTAGTTATTAGAAAAAGGGAAAAAATTCTCATCTGAAAATGATAGGAACCAACCATATTAGCAAATCTGGGAAAGTACATTTCCACACAGGCCTGAGGCACTTACCTACACAGAGTGAGCAGCTTTGTATTATTTTATTTTATTTATTTTTTTAAAGATTGATCCAGACAGAGTAAGGATCTGGGAGTCAGGAAAGGCTGAGAAGGTCCAAGTTAGCAGGAGAGCCATGTGGAGGTCTGGTGAGAGAAAAAAAAAAAAAAACCAGCCGTTGGCTCGGTGGGACACCTGAGGCCCTGGGTTTACCTGAGACATATATTGTATAATGACTTCAAGATCCAAAAGCCTGGAGCCTTGGGTCTGAATAGTAGATGCGCCCCTTACGTGGCTCTGTGCACCTTGGGAAATGAGGCATGTATCCAATCGAGGAGTAGATTCTGGAATACTTTGTTCTGTGGGAAGCACTCTGCTCCTCTCCCTTCAGGAACTGATGTTGACTTCACATAGGCGATTAGGCTTTGTGAGGTCTCATAAATGGTTTTACACCTGCTCTGCGGATCTCTGGATCTTCCATTGCACTGGTTTGGGGCCAGGTTCTCCATTCTCTCTATTCTGCCTCAGAAGCTCTCTTCCACACATGTTTTGGTCTCATATTCTTCCTCAGCGTGCATACCCAGGTACCCATCCTAACCAGGACCAACTTTCCCAGAGCCCCTATCTCAGGTAGATTTGCATCCCAAGGCATATCCATGGCCAGGAACTCCTCCTCCATGCCATTTGAACGCATTGTTCAAGCTACTCTCTGGTCTTGTGACCTGGATAGGTGACCCAACTCCACATGCCATACCATTCCGCTGACACTCTGGGGTTAGTCACACTTATCTTGCAGAAGTGCCCAGGCCCGCATAGGTGCTATGTGCACAGTAGCCGCCTGGGGACCTCCAGACCTGGGAGGCCAGTACGGTGTCCCTAGGGGTTCTCAGAACTCTTTTGGCACCTGGCAGATCTGGGGATAGATGCTTGTTGGTGAGCTAGAATTTCGTTTCTTCTCTCCTAAGGTTCCCAGGTCCTTTATCCAGCGGAGAGCCCTACACCATGCCAATGGCCCTTGATTCAAGTCTTTCTGCAGACATTTCCAAAGGCCCCCATTGAGGACACTCTTCCTCTGTGTTTCTCCACACACAAGGCCTGATGCTTTTTTTCCTAGTACTTATTTCCAGCGGGTCTGTCCTCCGTCACTACCATCTCCCTCACGTAATGTAAGCCCATGAGAGGGGTATGTTCTTGTCCTCTCCTGAGCACCACCGTATCTCAGGAACTTAGAGAAGCAGGTGGAACATAAAGGGCGCTCAGTTAACCCAAGGAATGGAAGTGTCTCCCTAGCAACATGGCATGTGTGTTCCAAGTGAGTTAGAGACTCCCACAGAATGGAACCCGGTGGGGCATCACTCTTTCCACCAGGCCCTTCCTCTCCAGCCACTTTGTCTCTTCTCCCAGATCCCAACGCCGGGCTTTACGCGGGGGTGGGGGTGGGGGGTGGGGGTGGAGGCTTGAACAGCTTCTTTCCTCTGTGTTGGTCCAGACTCACCAGGGCTAGCTGGCTGCTGGGGGGTCTGCGGGGTGTAGACCCCCACAGCCTAGGGCTCCGGTCCTCTCCCCCCCCCCCCCCCCGCAGAAGCCCGCTCGGGCATGCTCAGAGCGCGCAGGTCCGGATGGTGGAGAGGGGAGGAGGGAGCGGCCGCGGCGCTGTGGCCCGGGCGGAGCTGCGCAATCGTCTGAGCTGCGCACCCACTGGCGGCCGGAGCGGAGCCCACAAGTTGCCGGCAGCAGAGCGCCACCTCGTCCCGCTAGCAGCCCCTGTGCCCACCGGCTGCGGCCGGCGCCAGGACGCTCCACCCGCAGACGTGGACCCCAGATGTGACAGCGGGACCGCGGCCCCTTCTCCTTCCCGGCGCGATCCACAGAGTCTCCCTGCGTCTCCACCGCCTAAACCCCAAGGCTGGAAGATGTGGCAGCCGGCTACTGAGCGCCTGCAGGTAAGGGGCACTCGAGAGACTCGGGGCCAGCCTGGAGGAGGAGGTGCTGGGCTGAAGAAGCCAAGGTGATGCTTTGGCCCATTTTCAGAGATGTATACCCCTACCTACGCTGACCCCCCAATCCCGTAAGATGTATTTATGGGAACTGGATGCTGTGGGCTCAGCCCAGAGCCCTGTACCCATCCAGGGTCGGGGATGATGACACTGATTAGGGGCTGTCTCAAGCCTTACAACTTTTGGCTCGGAGGTGTTGGTGCGCATGTTGTTATAAATAGCGTCAGACTTTCTGAACAAGATTTAAGACAGCATCTCACTGACACAATTTACTAGTCTGGGGTTAGGATATTTGAATCCAGATCTCTCTCTCTCTCTCTCTCTCTCTCTCTCTCTCTCTCTCTCTCCCTTTCTCTCGTCTCTAGGAGAGGACAGAACACATGATTTGTGAAAGCATGCACTTGCCAATATTATTTGGACATGTCAAGCTTGGTTTGGCTGGGTCGTGGTATGCGACGTATTTTCTTTTCCCTTTATTCATTGGCACCCTCTTCCCTTCTTGTCCCCTGAACCCAAGCTCCTGCAGATATTTGAAAGGCGAAAGTTAATTTCAAAAGCCAGGAATGCTGATGTTTCAGGTCATCCCACCAAAAGTTTTTCATTGCTGTCACCTGAAATGCCACAGGGTCTTTGATTTAGGTTCCTAACGTAGAGAGCTGGGAGAGGGAGGTAATATGGGAAAGAAGGGAGTTTTCCCAGATCGGACTCATCCCATGACACTCTGGTCCTCGGGATGGCCCTGGCTGGAAGGTTTGATGACCGCCATTTGCTCACAGATGATCTTCAGGGGAAACAGCAGCAACAGCTAGTCTCTAAATCCTCCAGCTAGACTTTTGGCAGACTCGGGGCCACACTGCTGCATAGTAAACTTTGAAGAAGTGTGTAAGTGGTAAAAGTACAGTACGGCTGGAGGCTGAGCGTCACCAGGAGACTTACATTGGAGAGGCCAGGATCCCGCTGACTTTGGGACGTTTCTCAGACAGCCTTCCAAGCTCCAAACAGTCAGATGCTCAGCAAAGCCAACTCTGCCTCTCGTCCCTTATACCCAGCCTTAGCCTGCAGGGGGCATTGCATTTCGCCTAACCAGATTGCCCTCACCCCACAAAAAAGCCCTTTCCAGTGTTCCCCGGGGCTGTGAGTTGAGGAGAGCGTGTTCCCACTTATAGAGTCCCCCAGATTCCAGGCCAATTCTTTCGGGTTTCAAAGAGATAAAATCAAAACCGTTGGCTAACTTTGGCGATGAAGAGGGGGTGCCCAGTCTTTGGTTTATTAAGAGAACATCAGAGTGCCCCCCTGACCCCAGGCAACTGGCACAAGGTAACCTAAGTATATTTTATAAGTGGTATCAGATGTCAGTGGTGCATTCGAATTCCTCTCCTGGGTCAAGGCCTGAATTCAATTCCAGAGAATTAGCACGAGCGAGTGGAGGTGGTGGTTGCCATCCAGGTGCTGAGAATAGGGCGTCGAAATCCTTTCAGAGATGTGGTCCCAGGTCCTCGAGGGGGTGTATCGCCTGGCACTCTGTGCCTCTGAGCTATTTGTAGGTTTTCATCTATTGAGGTTACCCTTACGGGCCTTTTTCATTCTTCCTCAGTTCTGCAGCACATGACTCTTGGCAGGCAAGTGGTCTGCCTTTAATCCCCTGTGGATATTGCTCCTTGACTGATGTATTTTCCGCTACTTACGGAAAACATGCACATGTATTTCCCTGTGAGCATCTTATAGCTCGGGTATGCTAGGAGGTTGCTTTATTTCAAGGTGCCATGTTGGAAGGGTCTGGGCTTTAGGGTTCTGGAAAGCTGTAGCAAGGAGGGTTTATCATAGCGATGCAGCCAGTCACTGCTGGAGGGGCTCACCTACAGCCAGCACCACTACATGGCTCCAAGCAAAATCCATCTCAAATCTTGAGATCTGTAAAAGTGAGCAAAAATGGGGGGCATGTTCTTCATGCTCAGGGCTTCTTCCCAAATTGCTCCTGGATTCTTCTAAAAGACATACAGTTTATAAGTTTTTGGTTTTTGCTTCTTTGAGAGGAAGCCATTGAGGCTGAATTTGTGAGACAGCTGCCTGTTATAAGTTACTGAGACTGTTTGCCTGGGTATCTCTGTCAAATGGTTGCCTCTCTTATGTCTCTGTTCTCTGAGGTGATTTTCAGCCCCCTTTGGTCCTCAAGACACAATCAGATAGATATAATGGTTTCTGGTTCTGGCATGTTTCCATTCCCAGATACAGAAGGCATGGACATGGGTGATATTGGGTGGGGAAATTGCCAGTGAGCCCCACTTTCCAGCAGCTCTTAAGCCCTGGGCTCTGCTTACAGATATCTTCAGCTTTGGTCCTAAAGACTCACTTATTTTTTCCTTTGCTGATTTTCAATACAAACATTTTGAGAGGAGCCAGAGCACAGAAAATACTTCAAGGAAGCATTCCATGAACTTCCCAACAGGGCCAGGCCATCCATCAGTTGTATAAACACCTAGACACAGAAGAGGTCCAGGAGCAAAGAACGGCATCCTTTCCTAATTGATTTTTATCAGTTCCCATTGGAAAGCTCCGAGGGTCTGGGAATGTGGCCCAACTTTCCCCAGCCCAGACATTCACCCTCGGACTGACCGTCTTTTCAGAGAATACAGTGAAGGTTCAGGAGCTTGGGGAATCTTTTATCAGACTGGATTATTATTGTCACCATTATCTACTTGCTAGTAAAAAAAATAATGCTGCTTCTCTTTTCTGATTTGAAATTTAGTTCTTTGACCCAAATCCAGTCCGGGCGAATCAACCTGTCGCCCCGGGCAGGGCTGAGCTGGGTAATTTCTCATTCAGTCCCACGACTGTGGCCACTCCATCTGCTCCCCTGAATTTTAAAGCTGCTGCGTTGCGCTCAAGTTCTTTCCTGGATGCTTCTGCCATTGAATGCATAATAGGAGCAAAAGGAACATGAAGACTTAATTCGCCATCCCATGTTTGTGAAAATGTAAATATGAATTCTTCCCTTTTCACCTTCTTCTCTGCAAAGTTGACTTTTTTTCTTTCCTTGCAGAGAATCATGGGAGTTACAGATTTTTAAAAGAGGCCATTTGAGGCAGGATCTTTTCAGACAAGTGGAGGGAACTTTCTTTCAGTAGAAAAGGCTAAGACTTGTTTGTTTTTGTTTTGTTTTGTTTTTCAAATAGAGTTATTGCTTTAGCTTTGATACTTCAGAATCTGCCTGGGTTTCCAGTGGATTTAAATGATTGCTTCTAATGGTCTTTAGAAAGACGAAACCTAAGTTGTTATAGTTATGTGTTACTATAGACGTATAAGTCCCCAGAGGGGAGGAAGGATGGTGATTAAAATAAGACTATCAAAACAAAGGAGGCCAAGACATCATTAGAGGTGGGGACATTGCAGGGATAGAGGCCAACACATCCTTAAGGGAGGGGACATGTCAGGGATAGAGTGGAGGAGCTTGAGTCTAGCAAAGCCTGGCAGGTAAGTTCTAGCAAATTCCATGACTGTCTATAAACTACTCCTTCATAAGATGCTCCGTAAAAATTCCAATTGAGTCATTTCTGAGAGATCACACCTTTTCTGTTTTTTGTCGCTGCATCTGGGTTTTGTTTTCTCAAGACCAGGACCCCTCTTTGTCTCTTCACTCTCATTTGGTCAGTGCCTGTGCCTTGGACAAAATGAGGAAGCGACAGTGGCCACTCAGAAAACCATCGCCACTCGGCCTTATGTTTGATTTCCTGTTCAACTTCTGGCTGATAAAGAGGTTGAAACTTGTGTTAGCGACCTTTGTTGGGGCTGTGACAATATAGCTGACAGAGGTGACTTTAAAGGAGGACTTCTCTTGGTTCATGGTTTGAGGAAATACAGTCCACTGTGTTGGAGAAGACTTGTTGCATAGCTGGCTCCATGGTAGGGGAACATACTGCTAGGCTTCTCCACTTTTCATAGCTCAGAGACAGGACAACATATCGGGTCAGGCTCACTACTCAATGACCTGCTTCTTTTAGCTAGGCCCCACCTCTCACAATGGATCCACTAGCTGGGGACCAACCACCCAAGCACACAAGCCTGTGGGGGGAGCATTTCACAAATAAACCGTGAACAAAGTTTTCCAATAAAATGTTTCTTGAGTGATTTAGGAGGTGGAAAAGTGTATTGTTCCTCAGAATTGCCTTGTGCTTACCCTGCTGTGTTATGCCTGGTGTGTCTTTTCCTGATGCTGTGTGGATTGTTCCAGATTGATGTCTCTGTTGTTATGGCAGTTTCCCTCGTCCCTCAAGAAGCGATCCTGACAAGCCAGCAATCACAGCAGCTGGAGACCGTTAGACCTGGCTCATCAAGCAGACCAAAAACTTGGTCAGTTGGACACTCTGCCAGGCAGTCCAAATTGACAAAAGCAACACAGACCAGGGTGGGGAGGGGAGAGCAGCCTACTTGTCCAGCACCTGTTCTCTCTGTGCCCCACTACACTGAGTTTGATATAAATTATCCAGATCATTTATTTCCCATGGCTGGTTTTATTCCCATTTCATAGACATAGAGATGGGAGGCCAGAGAGTTCAAAATGGTTTGGCCAGAGTCAGGTAGCAAGAAATGGTCTGAGCCAGAGTTCGACTTGGGAGATTTGGTGCAAGACCCTCTTCACTAATCTGTGGGACTGTGATACAAGGAAGGGTGTGATGGACATATTGGTGCTGATGGTGAGAACAATGCTTGCCTTTTGCTCAGAGAGTTATCAACCGCTTTCTCTGGTATGAGGGATTGAATTTAGAGCCTCACACATACATTGGGTAAGTGTTCTACTGCTAAGTTGCATTCTCGCTTTTATTTGTTTGTTTGGCCTGAGACTTATGTATCCCAGGCTCATGTCCGACACACTGTAGCCTTGAACTGGTCCCCCTTCTGTGTGTCCTTAGTTCTGGGATTACAGGCTTATTCCACTACATCCATTTTGT